AACTCATTAGCATAACTCATTAGCATATGCCACACACCCTGACATCAGGGGCCTGGCGGTGGACCTGCAAGGCCAGCGGGAGTGCAAGGAAGCCCCGCCAAGGCCCTCCCTGGCCCCAGGCAGGCAGGGGTGGGGAGAGGCGGGGAGGAAGCAACTTACCCTCCCTCTTCTCCTGCCTCCTCCTGGCTGAATGAGGGCTGGAAGCAGGGCGGCCGGAAGCAGGGGGCGGGGCTTCGTCATGTGCCCCGCCCCCTGCACCTCACCCGGGGGAACTGTGTTCCCCCGCGTTCCCCCCGAAATGACCTCTGGTCATGTAAAAGGAGAGTGTATGCAAATTCCGTTAAGTGTGGATGCGTACATCTTGACTACTTGTTGATGAAATACTACTCACTGCAACACAGCAGTCTAAATATATATTTTCATTATACATCACGGCTGTTTTCTTCATTGTTTGCATCCTGCCCGTGATCCCTCTGCTGTTTCTACAATCTCCAGGTGGTGGCTGGAGACCTCTCGTTATGATAGCTGATATCCAGGTGACAGATAATCAGTTCACCTGAAGAAAATGGCTGCTTTGGAAGGTGGATTCTATGGCATTATACCCTGCTGAAGTCGTTCCCCTCCCCAAAGCCTAACCTCTCCAGGTTCCACCCTCAAAATCTTCAGGTATTTTCCAACCCAGAGCTGTCAACCCTAATGAGGCATGAAACTGAGGTCCCGGTCACACGGAGGGGTTTGGCCCGGGATAGGGACGTATCGGGGGTGCAGCAAACAGGCGCGATCTCACCGCAACATCTGGGAAGCGGCGCGCACCAGTCCTTGATCCGTCCCTACCCCCGAAAACCCGCTGCAAAAAAGAACCACCGACAGAGGTGGTCTTACCTGAAAGGCCGCGACAAGTGCGGCCATAGGATTGCCGGCGCATCCTTCTGCCAGCCCATCCCTGGCTCCTGGCTGAACTGCGCATGCACATGCATGCGCAGCCGGCTGCCTTGGTCTCCTGACTGTGGCTTCCTCCCCGGCATCAGATTGTGCCGGGGAGCAACGGCGCCGCGGTTCAGGGGATCCGTGTGATCCCGCCGCCGCGTGTCTATTTTGGTGTGGCTTCCAAAAGCCGCACTTAGGCCGTGCATCCCCCCCCCCTCCTGTGTGGCAGGGGCCTGAGTGTTCTTAATAACACAGGCAAACAAGTAAAACTTCCCTAGAAATAAAATCAGTAGTCAGAAAAGCCAGAACATTAATCAGTTCGCTGATGAATGAGCATCTGTAGGTAAGAAAAAAGAAAGAAATACTGCTTTACTGGCAGTAAAAAAGATGCATTCCTGGTAACAGAGCCTGATAAAAAAAAAAGTACACTGGTCACAGAAACTGATCAAGTAGAAACTGAACAGGCACTTTCACTTTCCTTCAGATCTCAAACTATGGTATGGAAGGCACATAAATGTTTGGGACAGGGTTTAACATTGCCTGTCCATACTTATCTCTTTAGTACTCTGATCAACCAAACACAGATCAGACACATGTTTGGCTAGCATTGTTGATCCACTGGGGGGGGGGGGCAGCCAAAATGCTGAATTCAAAAGGATGCTGGCCATTTTGTGATTTGGACAGTAACAAAAATGGGGTGGGGGTGGGGTGGGGTTTGTAACAAAAATAGTCTTCACCAATTTTCTCTATACTTAAAGAAGTAAATAGATAGTGATGCCAGGATCAGCCCTTAGATGTATATTTTTGCAGATATCTTTTTGCAGTCAATGGCAGCTGTCTCTCAGGTACAACACACACACATTTTTTTGTAGCACACACACTGCACATGGACACCTGTGATCCATTGACATTGGCTATACTTTGCTTAAATGCAATTTAAACTTTGCTTATAGTCAAAATTTGGTTACATTCAATTGATAGAGAAACTGGCCCTGTGCTGAATCAACCACAGCACATTTTACCACTCTGGGTAACACAGTCCTAAGCAATGTTCCCCCTAAGCCATGGAGTCTTGTGAGCAAAAATTCTACTTTCTGAGCTACTGGCATTAAAGTTCTGAGTGAGCGATTTGGCTACTGCATAAATTAGTTTGCTCTGGAGCCCTCCTTCCTGAGCTAAGGCAAAAGTCTGTGAGCCGGAGGCTAAAAAACTGTGAGCTACCTCACACTAACTCAGCTTAGAAGGAACACTGGTCCTAAACTAAATCCCAACCTCAGCTGCAGGAAGCCACTAGGGAGGCTAGAAGAACTAGAAGTGTTGGGAAAATTAGACCCCCATCAGCCAAGAGCTATAGACTTCTGCCCTTGCTTTTCAGACCATTTCTTCATATACACCCTCTCCCCCTTAATATCCAGCATGGAGAACCTTACTGATGAATCCCAAAGCTATCTCACTGTTTTGAGACTTATCAGTCAGTCCTAATTGTAACCGCTTGGATTTTTTTTTAAATGGGCCAACATGACTGCCAGCATTTTTCCTATAGAGGATAGGATTGCACAGGACTGCAGCCCTAGGGCCACATTCAGTGACACACAAAGTGCCCCTGAACAGGATCCACAGCTTTTTGCAACTTGAAGGGGGGGGGCTGAATTGCTGGGTGATGAGGATTTTCGCATTCCTCCTGTGCCTGTATCTGATTTAAATCGTTCTCTCCCCCCCCCCCAATCCTCATCCCCATAGGGCAAACAATTTCAGGGGAGATATAAACTGAGAAAACAGCCTATGAAAAAGGGCTAAGCCCCTCCTCCTCACACGGACTTCTCACCTTAAAAAGTCCAAGAAAGCCTGATCGTGAATCTCACATGTATCATTTCGCTTGGCCTTAAATCATCTTTAATCCAGGGTTTCGCAAGCATAGCCTGGCTGAAATAACTTTTGCATATCACAATACCCATCCAGGGAGCTCTTCCCTAATTAATGATAGGCTTAGATCCAATGGAGGAATTCTGTGAATGAAGAGGTCTCTCTTCTGCAGCAGAACTCTTGACTCCCCTCTTATCCTGTTCCTGGCACATCCCTTGTCCCCCAGAAGGAGCATTTCAAGGGGCATTTGGGGCTTAAGCAAAAGAAGATGGTGAGGGAATTCAAACTTTGTGCATGGAAATCCCTCTGCGGAAATGACCAGTAGATCCAAGCCACAGCAGGTCCATAGCCACGAGGGGTGGGGGTGGGGCTGATGAGGGCAATGCCACCCACAAAGCCTAAATCAGAGGAAGCCGGCCTCTGCCACAAAGAAGAGAGAAGAAGAAGAGATTGGATTTATACCCCGCCCTTCACCACCCAAAGGTGTCTCAGAGCAACTTACAAACTCCTTCCCCTTCACCTCCCCACAACAGACACCCTGTGAGGTAAATGTGGCTGAGAGAGCTCTGACAGAGACTGCTCTTTTTCAAGAACAGAAGAGATTGGATTTATACCCCGCCCTTCACCACCCAAAGGTGTCTCAGAGCAGTTTACAAACTCCTTTCCCTTCCCCTCCCCACAACAGACACCCTGTGAGGTAGGTGGGGCTGAGAGAGCTCTGACAGAAACTGCTCTTTTTCAAGAACAGCTCTTATCAGAACCACGGCTTGCCCAAGGTCATCCAGCCAGGTGCAAGTGGAGGAGTGGGGAATCAAACATGGTTCTCCCAGATTAGAGTCCGCGCACTTAACCACTACACCAAAATGCCGAACAGCAGCACAGCAGATCTTTTTGCTTGACATGCAGGGCCAATTCTCCCCAAGCAGCTGAACATAAGAACATAAGAACATAAGAGACCCCAGTGTTGGCTCAGGCCAAAGGCCCATCCAATCCAACACTCTGTATCACACAGTGGCCAGAAATACCAGTGCCATCAGGAGGTCCACCAGTGGGGCCAGGACATTAGAAGCCCTCCCACTGTTGACCCCCCCCAGTACGTCCCAGGTATGCTGGCAGCCTGGGGATAATGGAGAAGGCAAGAGGCATGGCTTATGTCCATCGTTGCTTTCTGTCCCCCATGCAGCCATCTGTCAGATCCAAAGCGAGTCCCTGAGTTGCCGCCGGCATTGCTGCAGTGGCCTTGCTCCCAGTGTGTCTGGCTACAGACAATGTGCCTGGCCAACAAAAAACAAAAAAAAAAAAAGGAGAGGAAAGGAGAGTCCAGTGTTCCCTCTAAGCTGAGTTAGTGTGAGCTAGCTTTTTAGCCTCCGGCTCACACATTTTCACCTCAGCTCAGGAAGGGATGGCTCCAGAGCAAACTGAGTAATGCAGAAGCCAAATCGCTCGCTCACAACTTTAAGGCCAGTCGCTCATAAAGTAGAATTTTTGCTCACAAGACTCCACAGCTTAGAGGGAACATTGACTGGGAGACCCTCCTTGTCTCCTCCCAGGCCTACTCCCATCAGGGAAGAACTGAAAGGATTCTTGGGACGTTGCTTTTGTACTAGCCAAGCTACCTTTCTCAGCGATGCACATCTTCCAGCCGTTTAGGCCAACACCAATGTTCCCTCTAAGCTGTGGAGTCTTGTGAGCAAAAATTTCACTTGGTGAGCTACTGGCATTAAACTTGTGAGTTGAGTGATTTGGCTGCTGCACGGATTAGTTTGCTCTAGAGCCCTCCTTCCTGAGCTAAGACAAAAATGTGTGAGCTGGAGGTTAAAGAACTGTGAGCTAGCTCGCACTAACTCAGCTTAGAGGGAACACTGGCCAACACAGCGGCACTTTCCCGATGCTGTGATTCCCCAGAGCACCACCTCGCCTCTTGTCTCTTCCCCCTCCTCCGGTTGCCAGCTCCAGCTGCTTTTGCCTGCCTGCTTCCCTGCCTGCCTGCCTTCCTTCCTCCTCCTCCCCTGAGCAGCTGGGCTGCTGACTCAGCCAGAGGGAAGACTCAAAGGGCACCGAGCGGCCCTGCCTCACAGCAGCAGCCCCCTCGGCTCTTCTTCTAGGATGTTGACAGAAGAGTGGCCGCTGCCTTCAGAGCGACTCCTGGCTGGGCCCTTCTGGCCCTGAAATTGGGGGGCGGTGGGGGGGATAGGGGAGGAGACTTCCCTGTCAGCGCCAGAAACAAAGCACAGTCTAAGTTCCTCTCTGGAAGGAGCAGCAGTCAGCATGACAGCAATAGCAGTGCAGGTAATTGGGGGGGCCAGTGTGGAGCCAGGAGCGGCTGTCTGGGGGAGATTCTCTGTTGTTCGGGGAGCGAGAGGTGGAGTGTTGTTGGGAATCCCGCAGGCTGGGAGTTGTGGTCCTTTGTTCTTCCATCGTAAGCAGCCTGTACATGTTTACTGTTCGCCCTGCAGGCAGAGCGGCTCCTCGCAGCCAGCAAATCTGACTTCTCCCCACCTGTTGCTCTTTGTATTTTTTCTCCCCCTTTTTTAAAAAAAGAAGAAGAAGAGTTCTTCCAAATGCAAACGTTAAATCCTTGTCGCTTTTCTTTCAAGCAGGCTTCCCATATCTGGACATACGATCGGGGATAAAAATAATGGCAAGCAGAAAGAGGCCCTCTCTTTTGCAAGTGTAAATTGTTTCCCTTCTTAGACATCAGCGTTTGGTTGCCTGATTTCTTCGGTTTTACTTAAATCCGCACACTGGAGATAAGAATCGAGCTTTCAATAATTATCTGGAGAACAAACGGATATTTTTTTGAAACAGAGGATACAGTTGAGAAGTTTTTCAGGATTTGGGGAGGGGGGGGAATACACTAATGCCTGCAAAAAAAAAAAGCTTTTGCTCCACTCTGTCACTGTGTGGATGTTGTCAACAAAGAATTCAGCCTGTTTTCCTCTCTGTCTTGGAATGCAGTGAGTTGTTTACAAAGATCAGGCAAAGATCTGATTCCTGGCATGCTGTTAGTGATGTTTCAGCAGAACTGGCTCTCACTCTCGCACTCCTCTTGCTTTCTGTCTCTGGTTCTTGGAAGGGTTTTGTACAAAAACTTTGTGTTTAAAAAATGCAATGTATTGCAGGCGTTCCGGTCAAGAGAAGAGGAAATATAGGATGGTGGACAAGAAAGACAAGCTCAGAATGAACAGTTAGCCTGCAAAGTGAGAAATGGAAATAGCATGGCATCGTTTCAGGGACTTCCAACAAAGTCATATGTTTCTTTATGATATATTTAATAATTATGTAGCACTTCAGAATCTTGCATTTGTTAGTACAAGGATATCTAGAGTGCTTTGAAAAGTACAATATATTAATGCTAAACACTGCATTATTGAATGTTATGCATAAGATTCTGTTGGAAGTCTCTCAAACGACACCTTGCTATTTCCACTCCACAGTAGATTAGTTCTCAACCTGAGTTCATTGAGAGCATATTTTTCTTGTCTCATTCTGTTTTCCCTCTTTTCTAGACTGCATATCTCCACACAAAAAACCCCTGTAAAGTAGCCCACAAAAAAACCCCTGTAAAGTAGCCCAGTATTTATTACTTCAGTTAAAGGGCCAAGGTTGAGAAATAGGGGCTTACCCAAAGCCATGTAATAAACTCATAATTGAGTTGCATTTTGGACTGTGGGCTTCACAGTTCAGTCACTGCTCTATGGTATTATCTATACCTGTGTGTGTGTCAGCGTTGTATTGTCAGCAGAATTGCTTAACTGAATTTAGACTGACTTTCTCCCTTGTGGCCTGTCAACACGTTCATTTAAGTATCATCAACTATTGTGTGTTTAATTCCTAATTATCCACAGAAACACTAGGAGGTAGTAATTCTTACCCCATTGGGCCAGTTTGCCTCCCCAAATTGGCATGGGTGTGTGACTGAAGCACTGCTGGGCTGGTTTATGCTGATGTGTGGAGAAAGTGGTTCAAGGATGTGTCAAGAGGTCCCTGGTTCAAATTGTAGCTCCTGTTTACCCTCTGTCTACCTTCTGTCTTTTGGCCTTTAGCTTCCTCATCTGTATCATGGGCACAATACCAGCATACTTTATAATGCAGTTGTGAGGATTACTGAACTATTGTATAAGAAGTGTTTCAAGCATTTAGGAATACATTTATTGTACAATTATGTGGTAAACATGGGCCGAGTCATAAATTGTGAGAAAGCATCCTACAGCAGCTATTTAGCCACAATAATTCAGAGGTTCACTGTATTCATCATTTTTGTTTTAATTAACCCATACTAAGGGATAGTTCACATAGGCTCTTGGTATTAACACCATACACATGCTGGGATTCATGAATTAGTCCATTGCTCCTAAACGCCTGCATGTACACACATATCCCATTGCACATAGAAAGCCACAAAGTACCCAGGGTGTGTTTATGTATACACCACAAACAGTATTGTTTCCTTGAATGGCTGATGGAACATATATATAGACAGGGCTTTTTTGGTAGAAAAAGCCGAGCAGGAACTCATTAGCATAATAGGCCACACCCAACAGTAGAAACTCATTAGCATATTAGACCACACCCCGATAACACATTGCATTAGCATATTAGGCCACACCCACCTTTTGCTTCTTATTCTATTTACTTTGTTTATTGTCAAAACCCATGGCTTTTTTTGTAGCAGGAACTTCTTTGCATGTTAGGCCACACACCCTAATGTAGCCAATCCTAATGAGTTTCTGCCATTGGGTGTGGCCTATTATGCTAATGAGTTCCTGCTGGGCGTGGCCAACGTGGGAACCAGCCGGAACGCCATTCCTGTGCGTTCCTGCCCCAAAATAGCCCTGTATATAGAACATGAACACTTAAGAGGAATGTGTATGCAAGCTTAAGACCTCCTCCCACAGTTGTTTGCATGTACAGCTTGTGTACCATGGACCTCGCAATTGTTTTATTAGTTACTTCTGAGTCCATCACCATGTATTTGAAAACCACATAAATCTTTGGTAGGCCAAAGCACAGGTGTCCAATTTGTGCTTTCAGATGCTCTAGACACGTGGTGGTGGTGCAACCACAACGTGGCTGGTGCAGGAGGAGGAGCCAACCACAAAATGTCAAGGAGCAAGGTTGTGCATGACTCTCATAGTAGTGGCTCTTCAACACTGAAGGCAGAAGCTCTGTTTAAGAGGATGCCTTTTTGTCTGCACAGCCAGTGAGAAGCACCGCTGTGCACAGGCTTCACCTGGCCCTGCTCACTTTCTATAGAGACACGTGGCAGGCACCATACTTGGGGACCCCTGTCCCAGATTCTAATCATGGAGCTGGCCGTATAGTCCAATACATAACTGCGAGGAGGTCAGGCTCATAAGGAAGTCAAAGGGCTTCATAGTACTGGATCTCTCGGGCAGCATGAAGTAATTCTGTGGATGCAGGCTGAGAAACGTGCATCCCAAAGATTCCCCTCAAGACAGAAGGCAGATTGAGAATGGTCTGTTGCCTTTCTGGAATATGTGCAAGTTAGCCGGCCGTTCTCTATTCATTATCACTTTAGTGCTAGGATCCAGATCCTCCTGAATTTCTGCAGGTGGAAGAATGAGAAGGGCACTACAGACCCCTTACTTACACGGCTTTTTGTCTGCAAGGTTCCCCCCCTCCACCCGCACACACACAACCCCCAGTAATGCTTATATGGGAATCACAGTGGGCTGCTGGGAAGAGGGGAAACATTCTGTTTCCATCAGAATGTTGATAGGTTTCCAGCCCAATAGCATACAGGCTACTATGAGGAGGAGGAAATACTGGGATACTTCCCCAATGCCAAGACAGTCAGGGGTCATTTCCTGCAGGGGCGCACAGGAGCGGAGCTCCGGCAGTAAAGAGCCCAGGGGGCGGGCACATGCAACAAGCCTCGAACCCTGCTCCCAGCAGCCCTCAGTCAGAGCAAGAAGCAGCCAGGTAAGTTGCAGAGCCCCCCCTGGTCCAAAACAGTCCAGTGGCACCTTTAAGACCGTTTTATTCAGGTACAAGCTCTCCCTCCTCTGCGAGGACAGATCAGCACGTTTCCCCCACCCCCAATAGCTAGCAATCCAAAACAGTCCAGTGGCACCTTTAAGACCAAGTTTTATTCAGGTACAAGCTCTCCCTCCTCTGCGAGGACAGATCAGCACGTTTCCCCCACCCCCAATAGCTAGCAATCCAAAACAGTCAAGTGGCACCTTTAAGACCAAGTTTTATTCAGGTACAAGCTCTCCCTCCTCTGTGAGGGCAGATCTGCGCGTTTCCCCCCCCCCCCATAGTTAGCAATCCAAAATAGTCCAGTGGAGCCTGAGAGGTGGGTGTTGCCTTCTGACACACTTCCGGTGATGTCAGGGGTGTGTGGCATATGCAAATGAGTTATGCTAATGAGCTGTGCTAATGAGCTCCTCCGCCTCTTTTTCTACGAAATGACCCCTGAAGATAGTTGACATTTGTTCTGCTTGTTATCCAGTATACCCTGAATGTGAAGCAAGTACAAAAGTGGGATATTTTACCTGTCTTATTTGAGGGCACGAACTCTCCCTTATAACTGCAACAAGTGATCCTACAGAGAGCCAGCAAAGACAAGACAGGATGTATGGTTATGGAGTTCCAGTCTAGCCTTAGATTAGAGTGGAGGGGTTGTGGTTGCATTCAGAAACACAAAAAAATCTGGACACACACGACTAAAACAGATAAACAAATATAAAGCCAACAGTCGTGATAGTCTGACCCGCAATCAACAGTCATAAGACATAAAGAATGCTGTACATGTATTGTGCTCTGAAGCATTACAATATGATACACAACTTAATAGAATTTATAAACCAAGGTACAACGTCGTCTCCGGATTATTTACCAACATTTCAAAAAATGAATCTTCTTCAGGAGATATTATAGAGGTGCCAAAGCTCTCATTTTCATAAAAGTTAGACAACAAGTCTTAAGCATACAATTCAGATACGACGCTGATCTCAATTAACACACAGTTTTTTTCTGGATCCTGGGCGTGTTAATTGAGATCAGCATCCTATCTGAATTGTATGCTTAAGACTTGTTGTCTAACTTTTATGAAAATGAGAGCTTTGGCACCTCTATAATATCTCCTGAAGAAGATTCATTTTTTGAAATGTTGGTAAATAATCCGGAGACGACGTTGTACCTTGGTTTATAAATTCTATTAAGTTGTGTATCATATTGTAATGCTTCAGAGCACAATACATGTACAGCATTCTTTATGTCTTATGACTGTTGATTGCGGGTCAGACTATCATGACTGTTGGCTTTATATTTGTTTATCTGCATTCAGAAACACTACACATGTATTGGACTTCTGCATACATGTCTGTGCCTGCTAGATAAGAACTGTGATTAATTGCATCAGAAAAATATGATGTCTCATTGCTACTCTGAGTAGCTGTGAGCCAGGGCACTGCACACAAAACCCTAAAGAAGGATGTAACATTAAAGTACAGCACAACGCTTGTGTTCAATCCAATAGCCGGATTCAAATGTTTAAGCATCCTTTTCCCTCTTACTGTATGGCCCTTTTCAGGAAACCTGGGACCTCACTGAAATGTTTAGCGCTCCCTCCCACTTGGCCACCTTGGTAGCACAAATATATATAGATAAATATATCATTAAAAACAGGAAAAAGATACAACATGAAGAGGTTCAGATCGATGTTCACCAAGTATTAAGGCCTCACCCCAAAGTCTTATGGGGCAGGTGACCTTACCAGTCAAAGTCATGTAATTTCTGTAGAGATGATGCTGGTGAGCATTGTCCATGGCACAGTGTCCAGAGAGATAGAGTTCCCTGGTGAAGAGCAGAGGATGAAGAGCATCGCCTCTAGTAGGTGACAGAAAATGAGACTGGTTGGCAGACAGGAGCTCTTGCAGGGTGGCTTTCTGACTTCCAGTCTTCTGCTAGGCTTGATCATCAGACTTTCATAAAGCAGCAACCCACTTACATCTAAAAGGAAATCGCCTTTTCCATTTCTAGAACGGGTACTCCTTTATTCCTTCCACCAGATGGGGTCAGAGTAATCAGAGCCAGCATGTGACAGCAGGAGGGTGTCACAGTCATAATTTTTAGCTGTATCAGTTACACAGACATTTTTATAAAGCAAATAATGTGCCTCCCCTCAGGTATGCAAATCAGACGATTGCCTTTACAAACTCTTATCTTCCAGTTTGCCTGCTGTGCCATTTTCCGCCACTCAGTGGCTGCTTTCTTTTCTTTCTTTTGTTAAGCGTTATGTGCTTTACTTTATTTTAGAACCCTGTCCAGCCCCATAGCTAGGGAATTTTTGGGGAGGGGGCCTCAGGGGGCCTGCCAGCTAATGAAATGAAAGTACAATGCAGGGGGTAAGTTGGAGCATTTGGGGGCAGCCCGGGAGGGAGGGGGCCCAGAAGAAACACTAGGGGGCCAGGCCCCGTGGGGCCCCTTGTTAGTTACGGGCCATAGAACACCGCAGAACAGATACCACAATTCCAAAGCAAAAAACAAAACAAAAAAACCTGTCTTATTTGGAGAAAGTTGTAGCCTTTGCCAATATTCTCGTGTCATTTAGAAATGTTAAAAATTTACCACTTTAATGCTTCTTTCCCCCCTTTCTCATGCTGGGACTCTCAAAAATGTATATAAACTTTAAAGTGTATTTAACTGATTCCAAAGATCATTACTGGGTTTTAAAAAAAATATCCTTCTCTAATCAGCCTCAGCGATTATCGCCATCTGTTTGATAGCCATGATTTAAATGAAATGTTGAAGGCATATTTTAACATTCTTTTCTTTTGGGAACTTCTCTTTAAGGCGCAACAATTATTTGCTCACAGAAGACCGAAGAGAGCATTCTTTGAGACGGTCATAAGGAGCCTGATTATCCTCTGTGTTGCAATAGCAATAGTCCTGTCATCCATTTCCGTGTGTGATGGTCACTGGCTATTTGCCAAAGGAAAACTCTTTGGATTGTGGCACCTCTGTGCCATTGGGAACAATAGTGTCCTGAAATGTACCACCAGTCTTACAATGGCCAACATCAGTGGGCTCAATGTTGGAATGAGTCTTGCAAGAAGTATGGTGTCTTTTGCTGTTGTGGTAGCAATCTTTGGCCTGGAACTCCTCATGGTCTCTCAAGTGTGCGAAGACATCGGCTCAAGAAAGAAGTGGTCAATGGGATCGCTCCTCATTCTTCTCTCGTTTCTGCTGTCACTCAGTGGAATTTTGAGCTTCTTGATCCTTCTAAGAGACTACATCAACTTCATGGGCTTTACATTAACCTACTGGTGCGAGTTCACTGCCACCTTCCTTTTCTTCCTCAATGGGATCAGTGGACTTCACCTTAACACCATAACATTTCCTCAGAACAGGATGAGAAAAAAATAAGAACGCTGGATGTCAGTTCCACTATGTGCAGTATGTCAGGACTCTGTGATGCTCAAAAAAGACACCAGAGGTCTTAGAGCATACACCAAACATTTTGCAACTGTATTCCACTTTCAGAGGATGTGTCCAAGATCAATTGATAATGGATGTTTGACTTTGGGAAGTTGGATATTAAGACCAGCAGGATTTTTAAAAATAATGTGTCAATGGTAATGGAATAACAAATGATTGATTTACATAATTCAGTCCCAATCCAGCTGTGGTAAACCATGACTAGCAGTACAAATCTATGCAGTTACTCTGGCTAATGAACTTAAACTACAGTACTCCTGCACAGGGTTCTACTCTTGTCCTGTTGAAAATAATGTGATGCTAGTTATGATTAATAAATATCTTTACTTTCAATGAGACTTAAGTAACAACTAACTTCAGATGTTTACACAAATTCAGTATAGCATTAGAATAAGACAAACACTGTGTAAATTTGTTTTAATCTTTTGCTAAATCTTGGTTTGTCAGTTCCTGCATTGCTATAATTAGGACTGGAAGAAACATTTATGCAAGGCAGAATACTGGATAATACCAGGGCTATTTTGGGGCAAGAACGCACAGGAACAGAGTTCTGGCTGGCTTCAGAGTTGGCCATGCCCACTACAGCCAAAACCTCTGCATGTGTGGCTACAGAGGAAAGGCCTGGAGACCGACCCCCACCTGGCAACTCCGAGGCGGGTGGGCCAGGGGGGCCCTGGAAGGATTGGGGAGGCATTTAAATGCCTCCCCGTGCCTTCCCCAACCTGTCCAAGGGCCGGCTTGCCCGGGCTTCCCGCAGCCACAGGGCGCCCGGGCAAGCCAAGGGAAGGCATGGGGTTGTGGCCTAATATGCTAATGAGCTGTGCTGTCAGGGGTGTGACCTGATATGCTAATGAGTTTCTGCTGTTGGGTGTGGCCTATTATGCTAATACGTTCCTGCTGGGCTTTTTCTACAAAAAACCCCCTGGATAATACAAAGTGGATCATCAGCTTCTGATAAACCTAGATATTTTACATTTTACCATGGCCTACCTAGGTTAAACCATTAGTTGAGCTTTGCTCCTCATCAGTTCCTTCATGACAGCATATAAACTTCATATACAATACCAACACTTTATCAAACTAGTGATAACATTTTATTGTATACTATATGGGGTATCGTATAAATCTTTGGGGACAGCTAAGTCTCTCACAGTGGTAATGTTATTCTGCTTAATACGGAGATGGTCTCATCTCCCACCATCTTCTGTAGCTCGTTGATGATCATCTACCACTGCATGGGCTAACGTCTTCTCAGCCCTTTTCAGCTGTATCCCAGCCCTCTCCCACTTTTTACCTGAAATTTCTTCCTTCAGCATAATTATTGCTTCTGTTTTCTTCCAGGGCAGTAGCATGCAAACAGGACGGTATTTTAAAAATGAACCAGAGAAAAAGGCATCATGCCAACTGTTTGGCTTTAATCATGACAAAGCTGTTGCACTGATTTCACTTGTTACAGTAGCTTCACTCTAAAAATATGGGTAGACATGTTTGCAGTGCACAATGAAATAACATCTGCAGTATTCATTTTTGTAGGGACTGTTTGGCTGCACAAAGAGACCCCTTTGAATCCCCACCTTTATTTTCATTATCAGTCTGGTTGATAAGACAGCAGTCCACATAATCAAACTGTTTTCACTGGTTCCTCAGGCCCTTACAGAACCAAATTCTGTGCTGTAGGTTTCAATATTGTCAAGGTGGGATTATGTGTGATTATTTGATTTGGTCACAAACAGTGCTCCCTCTAAGCTGTGGAGTCTTGTGAGCAAAAATTCTACTTTTTGAGCTACTGGCATTAAAGTTGTGAGCGAGCGATTTGGCTGCTGCATAAATTAGTCTGCTGTGGAGCCCTCCTTCCTGAGCTAAGACAAAAATGTGTGAGCCAGAAGCTAAAAAACTGTGAGCTATCTCACACTAACTCAGCTTAGAGGGAACACTGGTCACAAAAATCATTAGCAGACCCTATTCACTTCTGTCCCAGAACAGGAGGGAAGAAAAACTTTCTTCCATGGGCAAGACATCCCCTTGAAGTACTGTGTATGCAGTCCTGACAGGATTGGATATAGACTGGAGAAAGGTATGCTCAAAACCTTCTTGTTAGTAATACTTCCTTGCTATAAAAAGCACAGGAGGTTCAGGTTCCTGTATTCTCTCAAAGGATAACTGTAACAATTTGAGTTGTTAATATCAGTCCAAATCTTCCTTGGTATTCTTGTTAAAAATAAACACTCAGACAAGAATGCTGGGGAGGGGGTAGTCAAACTTCCTGGAGTGATATGCTTATTTTCTGCTGACAGATTTTTTCCCCCTGAGATTCCTCTAAATGCATGTTCATCGGATATTTTTATCTTCATAATTCTTTGTGAATCAGTCACTTCTTGGCAAAGCAACACCCATAATGCCCTCAGGTACCTTTTGTTTTTCAGTGTTTACCTGCACTCATTTTGAGCATGCTGTAGAGAAATTATCATTTCACAAGACCAAGATCCACACAAGACTGGCTAACATGAGGTTGTTCAAGGGTGCAGATTTCATGTCACATGAATTCATTCAAGACATAAAGAAAGCTGCCAAAAGCGTGAGTGGGTGACAGGCATTTGCTCATAATTATTTTGCATAAATCTTAAGCCGTTGCCCACAAATGGTGCAAATCTTTGGGATTTGGGGTCCAATGGGAGAAAATAATAGCATGTGTGAATCATGTGACCAGAAACACCTAACATGTAGGAAAGGCTTCAGCTCAGTTGCTTTCATCAGTAAAGTAGAAGCCAATTCCGGGGAAAGCGACACGGTCAGCTTTAAAAGTAGCCATCAGCCGTGTGTGTTTGCACGTTTGTAGGGGAAGGAAGAAACAGACCCTTCACTGCTGATTTGAAAAGCCAATTGTAACTCTCCAAGAATGCACTCATGAAACACTCTGCTTTTCTCTCTCTTACAGGCAAATAGATTGTATATCTAAATTTAAACATGTTTATGTCTATTAGCATGTTTGCCCTTCCTTGTTCCATAGCAACCTTGTGTCCTTGAATAAGTGGCTTCGTATTGTGTTTTATTATAGCAGTAATGCAGAATTCAATGACCTGGGAGTAGACACTCTCCTTTTCTTCTTTCAGCATGGTGCAGGAGTGTACTTATAGTGCCATGATTTGTAAAAGCAGCCCTATGCCTGGGAATCTTGGGCATCCCATTCTTCAGCAAGAACTTCGGGATTCATAAAAATGCATAGACAGAAGTTCCAGACGTGCAATATCTTTACGGGCCATTTCTTTAAGTTGCTGTTTGAAATCACAAGAATTTGGTTGTTTCTTTAAAACATTAATGTATACAAAAACAAACATGGTCACAGTCCACAGACATGCAAAAATAGAACCACAAGAACTGTACACAGTGCGCTCAATATTTCTTTAACGAAAAGCGTAAAGTTATAAATATGAAATGTACAAAAGTGATAATAACACATTCAAATGTGTAAGTTCAGAGACATAAAGATAGAAAATAACAACGATGGGACGGTGGTCTCCGGAATGCGACCCCGTTTCGACAAACGTATTCTTCTAACGAAGAGTCTATAAGTTGATGATGTATGAAAAATTGCACTTCAGTGGAAAAGCTGCCCAATTCACATGGAGTTCAATAGTTTTACCTATTTCATTGCATAAGTAATGGAGAAGAACATCTCTCAAACTGAATAAAGCTTATGTTTACATTCATATTTATAACTTTACGGTTTTCGTTAAAGAAATATTGAGCGCACTGTGTACAGTTCTTGTGGTTCTACTTTTTCATGTTTCTTTAAAACTACAATATGGTTTTCCAGTTGTGAAGCTGTGTGCTCTTGTGTGTGTATACATATAAAGTGGCATCAAGCCGCAGGTGACTTATGGTGACCCTGTAGGGCTTTCAAGGCAACAGACTAACAAGAGGTGGTCTGCCATTGCTTGACTCTGCACAGCAACCCTGGAATTCCTTGGTGGGCTCCCATCCAAATACTAATCAGGGCTGACCCTGCTTAGCTTCTGAGATCCAATGAGATCGGGCTAGCCTGGGCCATCTAGGTCAGGGTGTGTACACTTAACTCATTCTAACCATTTTTAACCATGTCTGTGCTTTTTGGTGTAGTGGCCAGGAGCACGGACTCTAATATGGCAGAACTGGGTTTGATTCCCCCACTCCTCCATAGGCAGCTGCTGGGTGACCTTGGGCAAGCCACAGTTCTCTCAGAGCTGTTCTCTCAAGAGCAGTTCTCAAAGAGCTTTCTCAGCTCCACCTACCTCACAGGGTATCTGTTGGGGGGAGAGGAAGGGAAAGGAGATTGTAAGCTGCTCTGAGACTCTGAGTGAATGGTGGGGCATAAATCCAATCTCCTCCTCCTGGTGGCTGCAACTAGGCAGTTCAGAACTCTCTTGCAACCTGTTCATTGTATTCGCTGTGTCCACCTGAAGGATGCTCTAAGAAATAGGTCTTTTTCTATCATCACTGGGAATATAAATCCATTTGTTGACAGTATCTTCCATGAACAATAGTCTCTGTTTACCAACAGGGGACCTTATGATCCCAGCCAGTGTGCCTAGAAAGAGAGTGCTTATCAGGTAGTCCATCTGTTTTTGCAAATCATGGCAGTAAAAGTATGCTTCCACACCATGCTGAAGGTACCATGTGAGTTGACATTCTGTGCATTGACTAATATCCAAAACTCTTCTACATTCCTGCCAATATACAATGGCATTTCATAGACAGTTCTCTCCCCTCCACTCAAGTAACCACTTATTATGGTTATGATCAACATCACACAGCTATAAAAAAGAATATGTTCTCAACTATTGCTGTAATTAAGACCCTTTCACAGTAGGGATACCCTACATTTGGCAAATTTGTGTCTGTTCTTTGGTCCCAAGGCAGAGGATGGTTTTGTTTTTTTGACACTTGCTCAGTCTAGTATATGACATAGTCTTCTAA